CTCGGGGGGGGGGGGGGCTGCTTTTGAAAGCATGTCGGAAGCTTCAAGAGGTGCAAGATGCAGCAATGAGACCCCTCTAGAATCGATGTCAGGTAGCCCTGTCATAGATCTGGAATGTGGAGGGGTATCCTCCTCCTCGTTCTCAGCTCTCTCCTGCCCAGCTACTGTGTGCTATCTTATGCTTGACCTTGCAGATGTTCCAACAACCGCTTCCACGGCTGGGAAAGTTAATGGCGTCTCTGCTCTGCTTTGCCTCGCTTGCTTTGCCACGCGCGCGAACTATATCCATTGGCTTATGCTTACAGGGGGGATGTTTGATTTCACTATAAGTCAGAGGCCCTTATACTGACGGCCATTCCTGACACAAGCTGTACACGTGTTCTTTAGTACTGGAACCACTAATAAACAGTTATCTTCTTATGAAGCCCTGTGTGGTGTGACCTGACTAGGGAGCCTGACAGTCAGCTGCCCGGGCTCTGAGCCTCGGCAAGAAGGGCAGACTTTAAAAAAAAAAAAAGTTACTTTATAAGCTTCAGTTCTTTATATTTCCAGGCGTAGTTCAAAGTGCTGGTTATTACAGTAAGAAGAGAAGAAGAGATTGGGTTTTGTACCCTGCCCTTCACTTGGAGTCTCAGAGCGGCTTACAAACTCCTTTCCCTTCCCCTCCCCACAACAGACACCCTGTGAGGTGGGTGGGGCTGAGAGAGCTCTGCCAGAAACGGCTCTTTTTCAAGGACAGCTCTTATGAGAACTACGGCTTGCCCAAGGTCATCCAGCAGGTGCAAGCGGAGGAGTGGGGAATCAAACCCGGTTCTCCCAGATTAGAGTCCGCGCGCTTAACCACTACACCAAACTGGCTCTCAGTAAAGCCCCACCATTTGGGGATTTGTGACTCGTCGCTTGTGGTCTGTGGTGCCGTCCCACGCTGCTTGTCTCTTTCTCACGGAATGCCGTCGTCATGGCACTTTTGTGGGAAATGTGAGTATTTCGCTGCCGCTGGGAGGCCTCTCCGTCTTACGTGTGCCTGCATTTCCATTGCAGAGGACCGACCCCCAGCTCCTTGCTCAGTTCTACTATGCCGATGAAGAGCTCAATCAGATTGCCGCTGAACTGGACAGCCTGGACGGAAGGAAGGACCCACAGAGGTGCACTCTGTTGGTCAACCAGTTTCGCTCCTGTCAGGTAATCCGTGCCCCCCTCGGGCCGTAGTTCTTGCACATGTGCAAAGGAATGGACACCGTTAACTGTGTGAAAATAATTTTGGGAAGGTGGAATGTCAGTTGGTCAATGAGTACGGCGGCTGATCTGGGGGGGAGAGTATCAGGACTTTGCCTCACATGAAGCGAGTTACAGTACCTATCTAGAACTTTTGTGGCCTCCACTGTTCCTTAAAAACCCCATCGTTCAAAAGGCTGTATCTTTCTCGTTAAAAATATGCACCTTGTTCATGAGCAGCTGTTTCTACTTTCTCTTATTTGTTGATGGTTATGTCACCTGAATGATGTCACTGTATGCACTGGCTGCCAAGAAGATTCATGCGAAACCTCTACTCCTGTTGAGAGTCACTTAACCACTACACCAAACAGATTGGATTTATACCCCGCCCTTCACTCTACCCAAAGGAGTCTCAGAGCGGCTCACAAACTCCTTTCCCTTCCCCTCCCCACAACAGACACCCTGTGAGGTAGTCGGGGCTGAGAGAGCTCTTGACAGAAACAGCTTTTTTCAAGAACAGCTCTGACAGAACTATGGCTTGCCCAAGGCCGTCCAGCAAGTGCGAGTGGAGGAGTGGGGGAATCAAACCCGGTTCTCCCAGATTAGAGTCTGCGCGCTTAACCACTACACAAAACTGGCTCTCAGTAAAGCCCCCACCATTTGCGGATGTGACTTGTCGTTTCACTTATTTGTGGTCTGGGGTGCCGTCCCACGCTGCTTGTCTCTTTCTCACGGAATGCCGTCATCATTGCACTTTTGTGGGAAATGTGAGTATTTCGCTGCCGCTGGGAGGCCTCTCCGTCTTACGTGTGCCTGCATTTCCATTGCAGAGGACCGACCCCCAGCTCCTTGCTCAGTTCTACTATGCCGATGAAGAGCTCAATCAGATTGCCGCTGAACTGGACAGCCTGGACGGAAGGAAGGACCCACAGAGGTGCACTCTGTTGGTCAACCAGTTTCGCTCCTGTCAGGTAATCCGTGCCCCCCTCGGGCCGTAGTTCTTGCACATGTGCAAAGGAATGGACACCGTTAACTGTGTAAAAATAATTTTGGGAAGGTAGCTTTCTTTAAAGCCTCTGTCTCCAGAGGTGGAATGTCAGTTGGTCAATGAGTACGGCGGCTGATCTGGGGGGGAGAGTATCAGGACTTTGCCTCACATGAAGCGAGTTACAGTACCTATCTAGAACTTTTGTGGCCTCCACTGTTCCTTAAAAACCCCATCGTTCAAAAGGCTGTATCTTTCTCGTTAAAAATATGCACCTTGTTCATGAGCAGCTGCTTCTACTTTCTCTTATTTGTTGATGATGGTTATGTCACCTGAATGATGTCACTGTATGCACTGGCTGCCAAGAAGATTCATGCGAAACCTCTACTCTGATGTTCAACGTGCTCTATGTCCTGGTCTTCTCTGTTTGCGTAATTCTTGCTCGGGCAGCTATCATTATATTGTTATGGCCTTTGGCCTCATACAGTAAAATTCTACCTCCCTACTTAAAAACTAACCTTTTCACTCCTGTGAAAGGGACTGTTTGGTTGTTACTTTCCTTTCGTTCCCCGGAGAGTAGGTTTTGAATAGTTCCGTGGGCAATCTAGATGTCCAGACCATGGTTCATCTAAGTATCTACCACCACTAATGTCACTTCTTTTACATGGCTGGCTTCTGTTCTGAACCTGGTCTCTTGCCAATAGCTATTTATGTTTATTTACTTGTTTATTTGCTTATTTATTTATGTATCAAATTTATACCCCGCCCTCCCCACCGAGGCAGGCCCAGGGAGGCTTACATAAAAGATTAAAACACATAGATAACAATTATAAAGACCCATAAAACCTTCTAAAAACAATCCAGTATCATAAAGCGCCAGTAAACATTAGGTCTGATAGTAATAATGTTATTTAGCGATGGCGGCAACAATTCAATGGTCTATCCCAGTGATGGCGAACCTTTTAGAGACTGAGTGCCCAAACTGCGACCCAAAACCCACTTATTGATCGCAAAGTGCCAACACGGCAATTTAAACTGAATACTGAGGTTTTACTTTAGAAAAAACAACTCATACATTAACTTAAGATGATCCAAACAAAGTAAGGAACGCAATCCCAAATGCTTTCATTTACTTAAAATTATTTGGCAGAGAATTCGGCACTTTAATGATGGTCTGGGCCTGCCTGGGGCGATGGCATGTGTGCCCACAGAGAGGGCTATGAGTGCCACCTCTGGCACCCGTGCTATAGGTTCGCCACCACTGGTCTATCCTGTTGATCAGCTCCTTGTTGTTTCTTTATGCGGTAGGCACGGTCTGTTGATGGTAACTCCTGAGAACAGAGCTCTCTCCCTTTCAATTATTGGGGGTGGCTCCTTAGTTGAAGGCCTGGCGGAAGAGCTCCGTCTTGCAGGCCCTGTGGAACTGCATAACGTCCCGCAGGGCCCTGATCTCTTCTGGGAGGCTCATTCATGCTATTGTGTAAATATTTGTTCAATGTTAATCTATGGCATTTCTATCCTAGGATAATGTTTTAAACATTATAAACCAAATAATGGATGAATGTATTCCACACGAGCGAGCCAACCGTGACTTCTATGTTAAATTTCCAGAGGAAATAAGACACGACAACCTTGCAGGACAGCTTTGGTTTGGAGCAGAGGTACATTTTTACTGTTTTAATGTAAGGATGGCATGTAAAACCATTAAGGCCCTCTGGAAGCTTCTGCACGATGCGTTTACACAGAAATTCAAAGCCTCAAACTAAGTCATTATAAAGGGAAACATTTTCTTGGAAAAATGTGTATTGGAAAATTTATTGGAAAATAAATGTGTATGCGTTGCAACTTTGTAACTGTAACATATGGACTTTGCACATGAAAGTAGACAACTTTTTAAAATGATAATTTTAGATTGATGTTTTAGTCTGTTGCAGCTAAAGCGAAACAGTAGTAGCACCCACCTTTAATACTTTCTTGGCCTGTGGTCCGCTTTGCCAGATACGTAATGATGAAACAAGCCCTAGTCAGTTAAAGCTGGTGGTTGAATAAAATCCTGTTAGTCTTTAAGAGGAAGTGTCTTTTAAAGTGGGGCGATTCGGGGTTTGTTGTTTTGGATTTAGCAGAGATTTTAAAGTCTTATTGTAAGGCTTTAACTATTATGGTAAGTCACCTTGAACCGTGAGGAAATGTGGGATATAAATCTTTTAATAAATCAATAAGGATTCTAGTGGTAGTTTCCCAGGAAAAAAGGAGGTTTCATATTCATACTTAAAAAAAAAAAGTTATTCCATTGTCCGTTGTGGGGAGTAGAAGGGAAAGGAGTTTGTAAGCCACTCTGAGACACCTTTCGGTAGTGAAGGGTGGGGTATAAATCCAATGCAATCTCCTCCTCCTCCTCCTCCTCTTCTTCTTTTTCTCCTCCTCCTCTTCTTCTTCTCCTCCTCCTCCTCCTCCTCTCCCCCCCCTCTCCCCCAAAGCTCTGTTCTAAAGCATAAATCTAATGTCTTTTAAAATCTCTCTAGTGCTTGGCTGCGGGTTCAATCATTATGAACCGTGAAATAGAAAGCATGGCAATGAGACCGCTGGCCAAAAATCTGACTCACAGTCTGGAAGAAGTCAGGAACATAATCCGTGACCAGGCCCTTCGGGATCTGAACCTCTACACGGGAAAAATGAAAGAGGCATTGAAGCAGTTCGATGTCCTTTTTGCAGAGTTTGAGCTAAGGTAACGTATCTGAAATCCATTTCTCATGAAAGTTATGCATTTTTGAAGCAAAAAAAAAAATTCCCCAGGTTTTCCTCAGAGCCAGTTTGGTGTAGTGGTTAAGTGCGCGGACTCTGATCTGGGAGAACCGGGTTTGATTCCCCACTCCTCCACTTGCAGCTGCTGGATGAGCAAGCCATAGTTATGACAAGAACTGTCCTTGAAAGATAATTCTCAAGAGAGCTCTCTCAGCCCCACCTACCCTCACAGGGTTTCTGTTGTGGGGAGGGGAAGGGAAAGGAGTTTGTAAGCCACTCTGAGTGAAGGGCAGGGTATAAATCAAATCTCCTTCTCCCCCTCCCCCTCCTTCTTTGTTATCACTACCTCTTGTCATTTTGGTCTCTGGCCACTTCACCAAACAAAGTTGCTTTGTTACTTATGATTGCTGTATTATATCAGCTTTTTTAATTGGCATAGCAGGCTGGGAGGCCCCCCCCCCCCACAAGATTGTGTTACCTGTGTGGTCAAAAATTTACAGGAGATGCACCTGCAGTGAGGAGGGAAATAGGGCAAGATCGCCCCTGTTCCCTCTGACTTAAACATGACTCGGCAGCACAGCTAAAAATTTCGCCAGTGGAGAAGTAGTCAGAATTCAACCTTCAATTTTCACCCCTGTTTCCCAGCAAAAATTGACTTTCAAAGGCAGGGACGGGAGTTGACTCATACATACCTACAGCCATGTAGTGGAAATATTCTTTGGACAGAGGAATTCCAAGTTGGCTGCTTTCTGCCTTCCCTGGGAATACTCCAGGAAAACTACAGAATTAGCAGCTAAAAAACAAGGCAATATTTTCAGATAGCAATGCTTTAGAAATTGCTTCTGGAGAGTTTCCAGGGCTCTTTTTATAGCAGGAACTCCTCTGCATATTAGGTGACACACCCCTAATGTAGCCAATCCTCCGAGAGCTTACGGAGCTCTTCTTACAGAGGCTACTGTAAGCTCTTGGAGGATTGGCTACATTAGGGGGTGTGTCGCCTAATATGCAAAGGAGTTCCTGCTACAAAGAGAGCCCTGATTGTACCATGGGTTAGTTTAAAAGGTAAAGGTAAATGTTCCCTTGCTCGAAAGCCAGTCGAATCCGACTAGGGTTGCGGTGCTCATCTCCGTTTCAAAGCCGAAGAGTTCAGCGCTGTCTGAAGACGTTTCCGTGGTCATGTGGCCGGCATGACTAAACACCGAGGTGCACGGAACGCTGTTACCTTCCCACCGAAGTGGTACCTATTTATCTACTTGCAATTTCTTGTTTTCGAACTGCTAGGTTGGCAGGAGCTGGAACCAGAGACAGGAGCTCACCCTGTCTTGCGGCACCCGGGTCTTGAACTGCTGAACTACTGACCTTCCACAGCCTGCAGTTCAGCGTCTTAACCACTTGAGCCACCGCAGCTCAGTTTACAAGTGACTAAAAACCATTTGCTAAGTGTCTGCAAGTTGAAATTGGCAAAAAAGATGGGAAGGCATTTACGGTTTGACCCCTCCTCCACTAACGGAAGCCGTGAGCGGGAGAGAGACAGTTTTACCAGATTCTCCCTCAGGGCGACAGCACCCTGTCCTTTGGTGCAGTTTCACTCACAGGTCCCTCAACACCCTCAGGGGAACGTCAGGACAAACACCTGCACTTCACCCTGCCCTTAGCTGAATACAAAATTTCCCTAGTAAGGTCTGTGCCAGGTAACTCCCATTACACTCAGCCGTCTTTCACCAGGGGGCACAGCCTGTGGAACAAGCCCGCTTTTTTGAGCCCCCATGTCAGCCACACAGGCAAACCGTCAAAGGTAGGTTTCCTGTGCAGAAAGAGTCACAGACCCTTACTGAGCTGTAAACTGGACATAACTTTTCAACACTGCTGTAACTCAAGTCAGTTTGCAACCAGGTTTCCTGAAACTAGCCGCCTTGCGCCCCTAATGATACCTAGTTCCAGAGGGGTAGCCATGTAGTCTGGCGTACTGCCTACAAAAGACCGACAAAAAGATGTTCGTCTGTAAGGTGCTGCTGGACTTCTCTGTGAATTCACGACCGATAGTTCACAACTGACGCTTGCCAAAGTTATACCGACAGTATAAACTGTCTCAATTGTGCAATGAATAGAACGTTCAGCATTAGGATGGTAAAACATGCTCCATTTGATCACGTTGTTAAAGGATGGAAATGCATATTATGTTCTGTTTTGTCCTTTGTAGTTATGTGTCAGCCATGGTTCCTGTAAAGTCACCAAAGGAGTACTACGTGCAGCAGGAAGTAATCGTCCTTTTTTGTGAAACAGTAGAGAGGTAAGCAGTTTTCGACAATCAAGTGCGCCACAACTTTCACTGCCCCGACTCACTTGACCTTATGCCGTTCATTTCTTGATATCCCAAGGAGCCTCTTTGCTTTCGACTGTGAGTTCTCCCTTGTGAATCAAGGCCAGGTGGTTTTGCAATGTAGCTTTAAAAAAAATAGTGATAAGCTTCCTAAGTCAAACTTGTATACATTGAGAGAGGGAGAGGAGAAGGGCCAGAAGCTGCCCATACATACGCCCACTTGGATTTATCTGCTTGCAATTTCTTGCTTTCGAACTGCTAGGTTGGCAGGAGCTGGAACTAGAGACGGGAGGTAGTGAATTTAGAGGAGAGGCCTGTCGTCTGCGGTCTTGAGTAATTTACTGCATCTTGTAAAATGGGAGTTGGCAAAGGCCGGTGTGTAAAAGAGGAGTAGGTTAGGAAACGGATGGAGCCAGAGGACTGGTGTGACAAAGGCTGTTCTTGGACTCCTCGTAGATTTCACTCATCTTTTCAGGGATGGCAGGACATGAATTCTTTTGTCCTGAATCTTGTGCAGTAAATGTGATGCCTTTGTGTCATGGTCTTTTTTTCCTTTTTCTTTTTTTCGGCTTATATACCGCTCTGACCCCGAAGGGTCTCTGAGCGGTTTACATATAACTTTATACCTGACTAGGGCCACTTTTTTTTTTTGTATGGGGGGGTGATAACCTACCAGCACCCCGGCAGCGGGCTCAGATGTTGTTCAGTTCCTGGCTCAGTTGTTGTTCAGTTCCTGGTGGGTTCTTCGGCGCTTCACCTCCTGGTGCCCGGAACAGGTCTTAATCCGCGGCTCCTTCCGGTGGGCTTCATCCGGTGCTCGGCAACGCGCCAGCCGCAGCTCCGGCTCTGTCCCACTGGCTCCACCGGGCCACGTCGCCACGCCACCGCACACCTTCTTATGAAGTCTTCTTATGAAGATGTAGCTTTTCTGTAGCATTTTGAGTAAACGATTCAATGTTCTCTTCTGCCTAGAGCTTTAAAGCTTGGATACCTCACGCAGGACATGATTGATGACTACGAACCAGCATTAATGTTCACTATTCCAAGATTAGCCATTGTTTGGTAAGTAGTCCATTTTAAAAAAATCCACAGAACAAGTTCCGTTGGGGCCCGGCCACAGTCTCCCAAGGCACACGCTGTATTCTACTGTGTTCCTCTTTGTTTTTTAACATGTCTCTTGAATTTGATACAATCAGAGGCTGACATTTATATATTTTTTTCTTTATTTGCTCCACTTGGCTTTCGTTTCATTTCCCTTCCAGACCTCAGTGAAGTGGTGGGTGGGGACTAGGTGCCCCTTGCCAATCGCAGGGGGGTGGGAAGGGCTTACCAGCAGCAGGGGAAGCCTCTGCCCAGTATCTCTGTGATGTCACCAGTGATGGCGCATGCAGGAAGTGATGTCATAGTGACACAAAGACACTCTGGTGTTTGGGCAAAAGCTCTGTGGTAGAAGCTGTTTTTACCATCGAGTTTTTGCTGGTACGTGCATATAGAAGGAAATGACCAAACAGTAAACTTACCCCTATAAGTTCCTTTCCTTCTTTCTTAAAAAAGTTCGGAATTTTACTTTCCCCTGTTTTATGGATTATTTCAAAGGGGGGGGGGGAAATCCCTGTGAATATTAATAACGATTGTGTCCGAGCAGATATCTACTACTTGTTCCTCACCATTGGAAGAACTCTCCCCATCCCAATGCGTAGACATTATTTTACTCTTAATAAACTATTCCTCCTCTTTTTCCTCTGGCCAAAGGTCAGCTTCTATTCTAAGAAGTACTGTGTACGTTCTTCCCAACGAAGCCAAACATATATCCAAATTGTCGGAGTGGGACTTCTCCTCCCCTTTCTTTTAAAATGGTAGCCAGCTTTGATTGTGTCTCTGTCCACCTAAGCAGAATTGCTCTCTTCTGAGCCCTTGGTTAAGATGGCATTTGAGCTCATCTGTTGTTCTATCCCTAGTAGAAGTATTACAAATGAAATGAGGAACTACAGGAGAATCAATGTTTTGGTAGCTGAGATCCTTGCAACATAAAAGGGTAGAGGTCTGCCCCCGTATCTCAGCGTCTCCTTGTTAATGGCTGCAGGAGACAAGAACTTCGTTAAGTTGTTTTTAATCTCATACCCAAAATGTTTCATGGGTTTAACAGCTCAGTTTGGTGTCGTGGTTAAGTGCGCGGACTCTAATCTGGGAGAACCGGGTTTGATTCCCCACTCCTCCACTTGCACCTGCTGATGTGACCTTGGGTCAGTCACAAGCTCTGGCACAGCTGTCCTTGAAAAAGAGCAGTTTGTGTCAGAGCTCTCTCAGCCCCACCCACCTCACAGGGTGTCTGTTGTGGGGAGGGGAAGGGAAAGGAGTTTGTAAGCCGCTCTGAGACTCCAAGTGAAGGGTGGAGTATAAATCCAATCTCTTCTTCTTCTTCTTCTCACTTGAAAAGTTATTGGTGGCTTGATTTTCACCAGACCGCAATTAAAATCTGATTTATCTCCTGTTAAATTTCTCTTTAGATGTGTTGTATTGAATTGATTGGTAGTGAGTTCTGCACTGAAAGTTTATCATCAGTCTGCATACATGATAAACTGGATTCCTCCATCCATCACCTGCAGTTGTCCCAGATATTCCTAGCTAATATTAAAGCAATCCAGTTTAAGAACTAAGTTTGAGCCCAGTGGCATCTTTCAGACCAACAAAGTTTTATTCAAGGTATAACCTTTTGTGTGCATGCACACTTCTTCAGATACAGTGAGACAGAATTTCCTCAGCCATTACATGTAGGAAGAGAGAGGGTGGGGGGATTTAGTTGCCAGGGGCTGATTAGAGTCAAGACAGAGACAGAAACAAAAATGGAAATTACCAGCCCATACATATAGGTAGAAGGTGAGCAGTAAATAATCATAGAGCATAATGACGATGTTTAACAGATTCAAGGATCAAACAGGGATTAATAAGATTAGTTTATTCGGTTACCATTTGTCTGGTTTCAATTCTGGGGGCAAAACAGTGAAGGAAATAAATATGTCAGAATTGGAGATTGATGTATGCTCAGTTGTGGAATGCCG